TTAACAGTTTGCCTTGATTAAATAAATGTCCATGCTTAGGTAGAATCTGGTTACTGGATAGGCGGAAACTTCTATATATGTAGTTTTTATTTAATAAAAACATTTTTAATTATCTATTATTTTATATAATTTGTTAAATTTTTATTTAAAATTTATATTAAAAGAATTAAAAAATTATTTAAATTTTTTTAAAATAAATAAAAACATAAATTAATCAAATGTTTTTAATAAATGATTTTCTTTTAAGTGTTCATTTATTAAGAATATTTAAAATTTATTATTATTATTATTTTTTGCAACCTCTAAAAATAATACAAAAATATAAAAAAAAGTGGTGTAGTGTTTGCCAGAGAATCCCTATCCTGTTTGCCATAGTCCGTAGTCCCTCCCGCTTCCTCTCAAACCAACGGTTAACGCTCTAACGGTCCTTTTCTTTGCATTCATCCTCTCTCTCTCCTCGCCCATCCACCATGGCAATGGCAATCCAAGCTAAATCCCCTACTTTATTCTCACCTCAGTTTCAGCACCCTCTTTACTCTCCCACTGCATCTTTATCTCCCTTCTTTGGCAGACCCCTCAAAGCCACCGCTCAAAATCTCCAAAGAAAACACCTCAAATTCAGCTGCAGATCTAGCGCCGATGACCCACAAGATGTACTCTGTTTTCGGACTCTTTTATGTGTGAATTTTGACTGAAATCTATTATTTACGTATAAATTTTGTTGATTTTGCAGGATTATCTGATTGATGCTCCTGTTTCAGTCGGTGATGGCTTCTCTTTCAGTGGAGGTAATTTTATAATTTTATAATTCTTGTTTTCTGTTTGATTCTTTGTCTATTTTCCATGATTTAATTAATTGAACTGAAGAGTTTGTTTATTGTTCACAGGAAAGTACTCAGATAGGGAAGACCCATCTGATGAATGGTTTAAGCAAGGAAAATTTGTGAGTAAGGTCTTCTGCAGATTGGTTCTATTTTATATTTTTCCTTTTTTTTTATTCTTATTAGTTATTTTGGTTTACATACTTTGGCAGGTTAAAGCTCATCCAGTTGGTGGTACTGGTCAAAAAGCCAAAGATCCAATTTTTGGACTAACAATGGGAGCTGATTCTCAGGCTTCTGGTGATGTCTTTAGGTAAACCCTTTATGAGGAGATTATTAGTTCTAAATGGATTGCTTTTTCTTTTTCTTTTTCTTTTTCTGTTTTGAAGTGGGTTATAAAGGGATTTAGTCTAGTCTCCTGTTACATTTCTGAATTCATAAAATACCTCAAAAATCTTAAGGCTACCACATGCAGCAAAGTAATTCTACATGTAACTTTAGAAGTAACCCTCTTTTTCTTTAATAGGTTTGAAAACCAATGCCTCAAAATGGCTAAAAGGAACTACTACCATCCTACATAGTCATTTCTTTTAAGTGAAGCTAATATGCTAATTTTTAAAATCTTTAGAATTTTCTCTTAGGAGTGGTTTTAAGTGTTGATGATATGCAAGAAATTGAGTTTTGATCATTTGCAGGATTGAAACTTGCTCTGTCTCTATATATGATTTTGTGCAATAGATGGTTTTGCGTTGAAAGTGGGAATGCTGATAATCCAATGGTCATATTGATTCATGGCCTCCCTTCACAGGTAAAGTCCTTTTTTTCCTATCACAATGATTATGCATTGCACAATTTTTCTAGCCTACATTTGTGGTTCTTTTAATTTTGTAATGTCGCGAGTATGATGGTAAAGTATGATTAGTTTATTACTGATTTAGTTTTGATGACAGGCATACTCCTACCGCAAAGTTCTTCCAGTTCTCTCCAAGAACTACCATGCAATTGCTTTTGATTGGCTAGGTAAGATTGTATTGTTAATTTATCTGACCAATACTGGAAAAACACGCCATTGATTAGTTTAAAACACAAGCTAACAGAAACAACTTTGTGCCTTCTTATCTCCTCTCTTCTTTTACAGGTTTTGGATTTTCAGATAAACCTCAACCTGGATATGGATTTGACTACAGATTGGATGGTACTTTTTGGCCTCAATTATGGAATTCAAAATTAGATTTTACTTTTCACTCCTACATTTTTTTTTGGACCTGTTATGGGTAAAAAATAAAAAAGAAGAATATTTCTTTTTAAACTTGTTGCAATGGCTTGTAGAATACGCCTCATCATTAGAGTCCTTCATCAGTGAGGTTGCCACTGATAAAATTTCTCTTGTTGTCCAGGTATGTTTTGAGAATATAGACAAATGTTAGCATCATTTTATGTTCACATGTAAATGAAATGCTTATGATTTTGTTGCACTTTTCCAGGGCTATTTTTCACCCATAGTGGTTAAATATGCCAGCAGCCATCAAGAGAAGATTAATGATCTAATACTCCTCAATCCTCCTGTATGAACTTGCTGGAACTTAATCAAGTTATTGAGTTTCTTTGTTCTACTGTCGTTTTGATCACAATAGGTTAATCTTGAGAAAATTGTGGCATTTGTGTCAATGGTCATTTATAGAAATCATAATGTAATTGACTCTAGCTCAGCAGCATGCTTTTTATTTCCTAGTAAGAAGACTCTTAGCTTTCTGATTTCTGCATTTAGTTACTCGCTATTTGCCTTGTTTTGAAAGTGTCATGAAAAGGAAGCCTTTGATTTTGCTTATTTACAGAGCAACAAAAGAAAAAGAAAAGTAGTAAAAGAAATGTTAAGTAGTTCTTCTCATGACGTTGTAATTATTTGTCACCAAGGAATAAAACTGAAATAAGGAAATTGACCAAGCTCATGGTCTCTTCATTTCTGGAAGGCCTCTGTAGTTTCAGGTGCTTGTGTATGTTAGTTTGATGTAAGTATGGTATTGAGTTGTTGCAGCCACAGCATGACAAAAGAATGATAGAAAAAATGTCTATTGCGTTCTTGAATGTTCAAATGATGATAACTTACTGATCATACTCTTTTGACCTTCTTTAATGAAGCTAACAGCCAAACATGCCAATCTTCCCTCAGCGCTGTCTGCATTCAGCAACTTTTTGCTGGGTGAAATCTTTTCTCAGGTACGCATGTTATTATTAACAACTTTAATTAAAGCTCTGGATCCGTTTGGTATTCTGTATCTTTAATTATACATATGTTTCTCTGTGTGATGCATTACCTTAATTTGGTTGGTCCATGAAAGGTTTGCTATCATACGGTGAACAAGATTCCTCTTCTTCTGAACAGGATCCTTTGAGGGCCAGTGATAAGACCCTGACAAGCTGTGGTCCCTATAAAATGAAAGAGGAAGATGCAATGGTTTACAGAAGACCATATCTCACATCTGGTTCTTCAGGGTTTGCCCTGAGTGCAATTAGTAGGGCCATGAAGAAGGAGCTAAAGGTGGATTTGTTTTCTTATTATGATTTTTCCTATTTAATGAGTTTATGTAGTTCTCTTCTCTTATATTCGCATTAAAGAATTTGCATCACTCTCTTTCTATTTTGAGGCATTTTATCTCTTCTTTTCTCTAGGAAATAACATTCCAAATACCAGCATTCTGTCTAAAGTTTAGATGGAAGTTGGCTTCTTTCTTTCATTGAATTTTATTTGTTCTGTTAGACTATTATCTTATTCCTCAAGCTTATATTGTGATTCTTGTCACTTAGGGGAGGATTAATCTCCTGTTTACTTAAATTTTCTAGTTGTTTACCTGACAGCCCTTTGTGGAGCAAATGAAAATGACACTTACAGATAATAATTGGAAAGTACGAACTACAATATGCTGGGGCCAAAGAGACCGTTGGTTGAGCTATGATGAAGTTGAAGATTTTTGCAAAGCTTCAAACCATAAATTGATTGAGCTTCCAAGGGTATGATTACCAACTTTTCCTGTGCATTTATATTTGCTAGCAAAGTTTAGATCAATATTACTCTTTTGTATTGTATGATGATAAATACACTAGATGATCTTATGGGGATCTCACATGCAGAAACAAAATTCAGATTTCCTAAAATGACATATTTTGCCATTTAATGGAATACACTTTTGCATTTTTACTTCTGTCACGCACTGCTTGCTGTTGGATATTTTTATTTTTTGGTTTTGAATAGATAAACAAAATGAATATGAGCTATGAATTTTTCTAAGCATAATAGTTGTATGTCATCTAAGATCAATGTCAATATAGACTATAGAAAATAACTTTTTTCACTTTATAATTTTATTATGGGCATAAAACATTTCCTAATGATGCCACTTTCTATTGCAAAAGCAAAGGGACATCCTGCCTGCTAGCTGTTTCACTAAAAGAGAAATCTCCTATATGTTTCTTTAACTGTTGAACTTTGTTTCCCTTGAGTTGTCAGTTGTTTTTTCCCAACATACCATGTACCTCTTGGGCTTCTATCATGTACCTTGGTTGTTTTCCAGTTTTTAATTCCATTTCATCCCCTTTTGCTGAATTCCAGCGATCAATCCATACCTAAAACCTTATTGTTTTATATCTATGTATTTCAGTTGCTACGGTTTCTTTTAGACATTTTTTTTTTCTTTGATATGTTTATACAAATATAATTAGCTTATAGTGAACATGGTGCTTACTGCAGGCAGGGCATCATGTACAAGAGGATTGTGGTGAAGAACTTGGAGGAGTCATTTCCAGAGTTATCAGCAGAACAACCCACAACTATTAACATTTTAGAATCAATGTTTTTCGGTAATACTCGAAGCTCCACTTCGTCTACAAGAGCAGTACTCTCATTATAGTCCTTTTTTCTTTAAAAAGTTGGCTTTGCAATGATGTTAGATATGTATGAGCATGCACGGGCTGCATTGACACCATGTAGCTTCAATAATTTTTGTTGCTTTTGATGAAAAACCAGAGCTATTTTATTTACTTTAACGCAATTGACAATAGCAATCTTGTTCACTAGCTATTTTTGTATTATAATAGGGAATAGGTTTCCAAAACTCCTATTCACCGAAGGATTTTTTGATTGGTTCGAGAATTTTGAATTAACATGCATCTATGAATCCCATTACTAGTAATCCGTATGTTTCTCAAATCTTAACACTAATCCCTTCCTGGATAATTTTAAGAGTGTATAGTATAGTTAGTTTTAAAAGAACATTTACTTACTAGTGTATAGTAAGTAAATGTTCTTTTAACATGCATTTACGAATCCCATTACTAATTAGTAATCCTATGGTTCTCAAATCTTAACATTAATCCTTTCCTGGATAATTTTAAGAGTGTATAGTATAGTTAGTTTTAAAAGAACATTTACTTACTAGTGGTCACAAAAGAATCTAAACATATCATAACAATTGTGTAGTCATAAACAAGTTTATACAATCAATAAGAATTCACTAACTAAAAGTCGAAATTATACATAGGTCATGTATAGAATCTCTAATTCATAAAAGACCTTGATTACATATATGTACAGACATATATGACTAGATTTCCTTTGCCCTGAAATAAACATCAAAAAGGGATATCAATTCCTACCGGTAAGGAATCAGAATGGACTGGACATAGGTTTGATATTTCACCATGACCAGCAACCCCAACAACAGCACCAATGTACCCCAGGGAATGTGTGAGACATTGCGAATGAAACTCTCCAGTGTTGTTACGAGGAAGCGCCAAGAACATTCTATCCTACTACTGAATTTCACAGCGAAGATCAACAGAAAAGTTAAAAGGGAGAGGAGAAACTTGGAGCGGACGCGGGTTTTTTTCTGGACAGCATAGTGGTGGTTTATGGCGGTTGGAAGCAAGAGAAGAAGCAGAATGATGGCGGAGATGGCGAGTAAAGGGAAAGGAGAGGGTGACATTGATGAGACTAGAGTTTCGGCCTATTTTGATCCCAAGCATGCATGAAACCTTTTTGTAACCACCAAACTAATCACCCTTTTCACTTTTGCATATTCGAACCATCTACGTACAATCCTCTCTGTGGTTGTAGTTGAAGGGATACCATGCACGCATGTATCCACTCCATGACAATTAATTTGTTAGAATTACAAGGAGTTGTTCATGGCGTAAGCCCTTAAGATATTTTTATGAGATTAAATTTAACTCAAAAATATTTGATTTTTTTTAATAATGTATCATGGGGTTTGAACCCAACCCAAAGAAAATGAGAAAGTGCATCTTAATAAAGTGACAAAAACCACTCGATCTAATGGATCAGATGCTAACTCAAAAATATTTAAACAGTCTAAAAAGAAATAAGATAAAATTTAAAAAGGAGTATTTATAATCAACAACTTTATGTTTCTTTTCTGTGCCAATGATTAGTGGTCACTCCCATTCCTACCGTAGGTTTTCTTAAGGGTTTATTTATTTATTTATTATTTTTTTTTCTAAGTTGTGGTTGGGTACATTTTGCTTAATTATTTTAATTTGTATTACGTACAATTGTACTTGTATTCTATATAAAAAAAATATTTATTTTCTCTAACATGGCTTCTGTTATGTTGATCATTGATATGAGTCTATCCAACACTCATCCTTTTCAACAGCTTTCTTCCATCTACGTTTGAAGGTCTCTAATTCAACGTAGGATAGTCTTCTAACCTGCCAAAAAAAGGTTTCGTAGACTGAATTAATGAATGCCAAGCAACCTGCAACGTCCCAAGGCGACTAGTTTGAAGGAAATGGGATTAATTGTAGCAAAATTCATAAACACAAGCACATTGTGTATTACCTCAGATCTAACATGAGACTCGTGTGTAGTCAATGGTTCCTGCACATTAGGGTTGTTAAGTGACACATACGAGATGTTTAAAATCAGATGTAAAGCATGAAAGCCTAGATTATACCGTAGTTAATCTTGGGCCAATTTGAAGTCTTGAAGTTGGGGGAAAAAAAGAAGAAAAAGAAAAAGAAAACAAAATTTTGATAAAACCAGGAGACATTGGATTCAGAGTACTAATAAGCATCTAACCTTGTCTGCTTCCGCACCTCCAAGTGTAGGAAGAGCATTATGAACTACGTACTCAGCATCAACAATTCCAATATTTTGAGTACGATCACCCTGCCAAATAAAGATTCATTACAAGAAAATGTCAAAGGCAATGTATAATGCAAAAGAAAATATGCATGAATTTAGTCATTTAGATACTAAAAAACTAACCTGTGCACAGTAACCAAGCTGAAAGTCCACTCCCCATCCATAGACCAAGTCGTTCTGATAGGAGAGAAGTGAAAGCTTAATGGCAGAACTTTCTTAAATATTAAACAGAACAATCAAGGTAAACAAGTTGTTTATGATTTTAGAACCTTATTCATATAAATGGCAATTAGAAGCTAAACAACAAGAAACTCTTCACATTGGACCCTGTTACATTATACTTATCCCAACTATTTAGACATAAACAAACATTACAGCAAATCCTGTCTTACTTTAGATTGAGCCATGGACTTTAGTAACATTTCGTAGCAGATAACTGAGAATTACTGACAATGCGCTTTACTCCATTCTACTCATTTTCCCATTCTACATTTTAGTAATTTCCTTACTTTCTGGTAAAGATGGCACACCTGTATCATATGCCATGCACAGCGCCAGGATGCTCTTGAGAAAACAGGAGCCATCATCTCTACAAACCTGAAATGCATAACACTTTCTGTCTTTTATTCCAAGATAAAGAAGACAATTCAACTTTCGTATTGAAGGAAAGTTTTATAACAATTGACATAAAAGGATAAATAGACAAGTCCTTTTCCATACCCTGTGCAAGGAGGACCTGTGCTGTTTCCATCACATTTTGTCCGACCAATCTTTGTGTAAGTCCTCCTATTAACAATAACAAACCCATGAAAGATGAAAACTTTAAAAATAATAATGCAGAAAGCTTAGACCAAATCAAAGTTTGTATAACTAGTAATGAGCTTGTGAGCTCGAACGTATGATATAACAAGCTCAGTAACCTTTTTTGGCCGGTAACCTGCTCAATAAAACTCACAAGTAATAGAACTCTAGTATAATTCAACACAAGCTTTTGGAAAGATAACGAACCTGTGTACTCTTGTTTTGCTGTCTCTTGATGTCAATGGATGGTGCAACTCCGACTTCCCAGGATCAATAGCTGGTTGTGATATTTCTAGCCCTTCTTCTTTAATAATTGAAACATACCTGCATTGAAGTAATTGGAAGTGCAGGAAAATCAACTTGTAAATGTTAATAAAGGAAATTTCCATCTTGCTTCTTCTTTGAGATGATCCCTTTTGCACCAGTGAATTGCTTTCTAGGGGTTTGAGTACCCCTTGTACTCACATAAATAAATTAATTTATTGTCAATCAAAAGAAAATTACTACGTTGTTGGCAAGGACAAAATAAATTAAAAGGTAATTGGAGTTTGTGGTGATAAAGTTAGAATATTGTTGCTGTCATACAGCCATTGTTTTTGTCTACTGGGCTTTCACATGTCTAAAAGCTGAATGGAGAAAATACTTTGTAAAAGGGCCTCCTTTAGAAAGGTTACCATAATGCTTCTGATGCTGAACAAGAAGAACCTATAGAAGAGTTATTTACAGTATTTACGCTGATTGTATGATTATTTTGACTATGCAGGTGCTACTTTAGGATATATCATATATGTTTGTAAAATCTTTCGTAAACACTCAAATCAAAAAATTGAGAATCATTTTCAGCAAATTATGCTTTGTGATTGTGTGATGCAATCTGCCTTAGATGTGATTCCTAAGGATTTTCTATCCTCATTATATGTGATGCCTAAAGAAACCCATCAGCCTCCTTATAAGCGTGACTGCTAGGGATCTTCTTTCCCTTTCTCTTCTCCTTTTCTTTCCTACTCTTTTCACCCCTAAATCAGCCTCTTAATCCCAAAAGCTGTCATATCTCTAATTTCCTACATCAGCTTGTCATCTGAGGATGGACCTCCATATATACTGGCTTTTACAAAATGGACTCTGGAAGGCTTCAATTTGCTGATCACAAACTAGGAAAATAAGCCATGCCATGGCATTTTGAAGGTATATTTTGCATGCTGCTTTTTTATGTTGTTGGCACTAAATTAAAAGGAGAAGCAATAAGACATTTATTTTTACTGATTTATATGCATCTGCATGCCATGTAAATAATTCTCTTAGATCAAATGGCCATAATTAAAGGGGGTGACAACAACAAACCTTTTTGCATTAAAATTTTCAACTCCAAGGTCTTCGTCCCACAGGAAGATGTAGGCATACTCTGTAACAATATCTGGATGCAAGAAACGCTTTGCAAACCACCTAAATCATGAAGCAATGCCACAATAATGAAGTTACTCATAACCAAATAGACATCTAAGAGCAATTTCAGATCAACAGCTAAGGACTATTACCACTTAGTTTGATTGACAGCAGAGACATGAATGGGTTGGTCATTCCATTCTAAATCCTTCCACTCATCCACAATGCCATCATAGTGAAAGAGCATCAAAACAAAATCACTTTCTGGAAACTGTGATATGGAATTGAAACCGAAAATGACATCACTACCTAAATCCAATACATAAATGATGCAGTGACTATAAAGAATTAAGAAATCAGAAAATAAAAGCTTTGCCTATAACCTTCTTGATAATTTTGTTGACACTTTCTTTTTGCTTTATTCCAACTGCAATGGCCAGCAAGTTCATTGATAATTTGGGATTCTAAACAGAAGAAACAAAACACATATCAATGCTCAAACCATATAACCAATGCAACATCAATTTCATTATCCAGTAAATTTCATGAAATAAACAGACAGATGTTACTAATTTTATGCCTTCACCTGTGTGCCATTAGTTTTCCTTTCTAGGGAACACACCTACAATCAACTTAAAGGTAGAAATGGACAAATCTGAGAGATTAAAACGGAGAGAAGCTGGATTACATCTAAATGGGAGCAGAAATTGTGTTAACAAGACAATGGTTAATACTATAAAATTAGACAACAGCTGATAAGAACAGCAAGTCACAATCAATCCTTACACCAAGAAAGGTAATAACTGCTTCAATATGTTCTTTAAACAACAAAGTCATTAACGTGATAGATGGAAAGCCAGAGATCATCTTATATAATAATTGCATACGGATCCAATGAAACTTTCACTAGCTCAGGGAATGAACAAAGTCCTCAATGTGTTGGTAAAATATTTATCCTACACATCGTTCTAAAAGATTTAACACCTATGCATATGCCACAGCAATTTGAATTTGGAAATGCTCTCTGCATTCAATTCAAACTATAAAAAGTGGAGGAAAGAGAATGAACAAAATCTAAAGTCACAATGATCTAACAAGGAAATCTGTACTGACTTTGAAAAGAATAAAATTATAAACAAATTATTGCTTACTTTTTTATTCTTGGGGCCCCAGAGTGATCGCATTTCCAAGTCAGATGTCTGGGAAATGATACCTTCAGGTAGCATCTCACTTCCATTTGGCTTGCACTGGACCTATGCACATTCAATAATGGGGGAAGATGACAGGGGAAATAAACAGAAAGAAAAAAAAGCTAAGAGAATAAATTTGGTATTCATGCACATAAATAGAACAGACAAGTAAAAACAAACACAAAAGCACATAGACATATGGCAACAAACCTTACACCCTATAGATCTTTTATATTGCAAAGTAATAACCGACCCCCATCCTAATATCCTCTGCGCACATAAGGCCCAAATTGCCACCAGTCAAAGGAGGTCTTCCCTTCATAAAAACAAATTCGCCACATTTTCAAATTTATAGAGAACTAAAAGGATAAAAAGTATATACCTCCTTATAGTCTGTGATTGCAAATGCACTTCCTATGAAGAAGGCTGCAGAAAGCATAAGCATCGTAGGGAGGAAACAGTGAGTGAACAGTCTCAGCCTTTTAGGTTCTACCTTCTGAGACATCTGACACCAGGTCAAAAAGAAGACAATTCAGGTGTGAAATAGGTCTGGAAAGCCAGATAGGAGCCATCTGATAAAGTCAGTGGTTTGACCCAAAACAGAGATAAAGTTTGCAAAAGAGATGAAACGTGAATCCCTTTGGCACACAAGACAATGGAGGGGAGTCATTCCATTGCCATTTTAAACTTTGTTACTAAAATTACTAAAATTCAGCATTAGAATCAGTACGATAAAATTATTGTCAGTGCTACCACATAAATGAGCACTATAAGTTTGATTTCATTGTAACTACAGAGTAATAAAACTGACTACCTATTGGAACTTTTCTTGATTGACAAATACATGACTTAAACAAGTTTTTTTCTGATCTTTTCCTCATGTGTTACTAGAAAAAGGTTAAATAAATGGACAATTTCCCCAACGCTGAAGAATAAACAAGCTCTAATAATGTAATTATGGAGGAAATATGAATCACCAAAGCTATCCTCTTGATTGTAACAAAAAAATTTTAATTTGCCCATTTCTAAGGACTTGTTTTTGGCAATCCATTTATAAGGACTTAAAACATCCAAAAAAGGAAGAATATTTGCTACCTGCAAGCTCATTATGCATAAAAAGTAGATGCTCATAAAGCCAGTAAATAATGGTGAAAAGTAATGATATCAATTAGAAAATGAATTTTGACTAGACAAAAAAGAAAAAAAATCAGAAGATTAAGCTGAAAATGGGGTTGACTACAGCTTCAGCTGTGGTACAGCACAAAGAAATCTTTGGGAAAAAATTTTTTCTTCCATCCAATTTGCCTCAGGTTTCCCACTGGTCTTGAAATTCAATTGTAGATCCTTTGATGTATTCATGACCCTCCACTCATGAGGTCAAAACACTGGTCTTGAAATTCAATTGTGGCCCCTTTGATGTATTCATGACCCTCCACTCATGAGATTAAACTTTTGACCAATCAAATCATCAACATCTTCATTCAGTGCATAAGAAACAATAGACCTTAGATATTTTATAACTACAAACAAAAATTTGCAGGCATTTATAAGCACCAGTTTTAAGACCTATAACTGCAGGAATCCTAAAAATGCTAAATAACCCACCATATAAATATAAGAAGTTAATCACTTGGAACTGCATCTGCTGCAATTTAACATAGATACACCAGACACCAGATACAATCAGTTATGCTTATGATAGAATATAAAAGCACCCAATCCAACTGAAACTTTTTATACTTATTCATGCTACAGGTAAAGACCAAATTAATACCATTTATATAGAAGAGCTCGAAACAGATGGGTATTGTTGGTAATCAATTTTCTATTTCTGTAATGCTCTTTGCTCTTGATCCGGGATCACATTAATTGGTACCATCATCATCAAGCTTGTGATCAATCATACATAGAAAGTGCAAAAACGACTCTTGCTCGATACTTCAAATGTGCAAAACAAAACAGGATCAAAACCCATCAAACAAAACTCATAACAATACCATCAAAAGCTAAAAAAAAAAAATAAAAAAATAAATGGCAGAACCCAGAAAATGGTTTCCATCATAAGTTGATAACCCACAAACAACATACCAAAAGGTTTCCTCACCCAGAAAAATAACCATATGAATAAATCAGAGAGAGGTGGATAAAAAGAGTTGAAATGTAGAAAGAGGTAGCTTGGGGGGAACTTACAGAGTTTGACATCATCTTCTTCTTCATCCTGATCTCGATGTTCCATTCAATGGGATTTTAACGTGATTGGCGTTGAGATTTGCTTAAAAGAATGCAGAAAAAATGTTAAAAAATGTGCAGACGAGGCAGGGAAAGCAAGAGCTTTACTTAAGACTGCAAAAAAGTTGCATTATTGTTATTATACTATTATTTTTATATTATTATTATTACAAATTTTCTACAAAAGCTTTGGAGAAAAGAAAGAAGAATGAATTTACTTGTTTAAAGGTAAGGATGACAATTTGCCTCGATACTCGTAGGTCTCGTGAGCATCCTGTCACGGAGATGGATAGAAAAGAATATTTTTTTTGTAGGGTGGGGATAAAAGTATTTTTTTTCTGTGAAAATTTGTGAGAAATTTTTTTTGTCCTGCGCGACCCCGTTGACATTCCTATTTAAAGGCAACAATACAACCACCACGTGTTAACTTGTGCGAAAAGGATTTTATTTTTT